ATAATAATAATAATAATAATAATAATAATAATAATGAAGTCAGCCCCGTGGCAAAGACGGTTGCAGCAGCTGTCGTCTGTAGGTTCGAGTCCTGTGTAGACAGGGTCGTTTTTGTGATTGCTCCTTCACGCCTCATCATCATAATTCAAGTCAAGACATAACAACCTTGACGTACTGATGGATACAACTGAAAAGCTGATCCTAGAAAAATTACGCACATTAATCGTGTCGCATTGTCAGTAATGGCCTATATGGCATAATAATAATAATAATAATAATAATAATAATAATAATAATAATAATAAATGCCCAAAACTAATTTTTTTATATCAAGACCGGCAAAATGTATTCTGACTACATTAGATATTTGATAAAGTTATTAAGATACATACAAGAATTATCCAGTATCAGGAACCCATAAAATGAATTCCTCTGTTGAAAAACCTGCACCTTACATAGGAGTTTTACAATACTGTCTTCATACGACAAAAGTGGTAAAAATAAGCTCCAATACAATAAGTTTATTATTGATGTGGTAAAAGAATGATAATTTTTTAAATCATGCATTACAGTGTAACAACTACATTCTCTTCTAGAGTGTAATTTCAACAAACACAAAATTCAGTTCAGACCACTGAGTATTTGGAAATCTTTGACAAATCGAAAATAAAAAAGTTAAATAAGTTACCAGTGACCTATTACATCCCTTTCCTGTAGGGTATTTATAATCCAAATATAGATAAATAATTATATTTTATACTATTTTATTGAAAAGGAATAGATATAGCTGTCATAACTGAAAAAAAAAAAAAAAAAAAAAAAAAAAAAAAAAAAAAAAAAAAAAAAAAAAAAAAAAAAAAAAGTTAAAGGTACGAAAGATATGAAATAGCATGATCTACTATGGAGTAACTCAAAATAGACAGGCAAGTAGTGGGGTAGAATTTATGGTTAACAAGAGGTGGAAAAATAGGATAGTGGAGTATTCCTTTTTTAAATGAGCGAATTGCGACGTGCAAATTCAAAATAGAGAGGGGCCACTTAATACTTACAGGCGTGTATGCCCCAGAAGAAGGAAGGAAAGAGGACACATGGACGTTTTATGACGATCTTCAAAAACAAATAAGCAAAATAAACAAAAATAATCATGTCCTTGTCTGTGGCGACCTAAACGCCAGGGTTGGTAACATTCCAATTCCGGGAGTTGTGGGGGTATTTGGAGAACAGCACTTGAATAAAAAAGGAGAAGAACTTAGACAGTTTGCAACCTTCAATAAGTTGAAAATTGCTAATACCTTTTTCAGGAAAAAAGAAATACACATGTTCACCTGGAGTGTCAGAGGCCTCAGATCACTGATAGATTATGTAATCGCAAATGACAAAATTAGTAACCAAATAGAGAATGTACAAGTACACAGAGGATGTGATATACATCTAGACCACTACCTAGTGATTGTAACGATAGTAATGGAAGCAAAATGGAAGAAAATTAGACCAAGGAAAGAGACAAGTCAGGAAATTTTCAAAGTGTACTTACTTGAACAAGAAAGCATAAAAAGACTATATCAAAATAGATTACAACAATTTCTGTCAAGTGTTCCCACTGTTGTTGATGTGGATAAGGAATGGCAGAATATAAAGGAATGCATAGAGAGGGCAGCATATGAAACTTTAGGAAAGAAAAAAAGCATAAGAAAAGGAAGGGACTGAGAGTATGGAACGATTGTATAGCAAAAGCCATAAAAGATAAAGATATATCATATAAAAAATTCCTTTAAAACAAAACACAAGAAGCTAAAGAATAATATAAACAAAAAAGGAATAACACTAAACAAATAATAAGATCTGCACATTAAGACTCATGGGATAGATTTACAAGTACCATCGAACATGACATACTGGAAGACAAATGTTTGCGTACAAAGGGTTAAGACATTTAAATCAGACTGAGAAAGATGTTGCAGATATACGCATAATCAATGAAGAACAGTGGAAGGAACACTATATAAACCTTTGGTGTACTGGAACAGTTGAACATAAAGAGGAAGAGCTTCGCTACAACAATACTGTGGATTCCATCTCCTTGGATGAATTAAAGCAAGCCTTGAACAGTCTAAAAAACAGGAAGACCTGTGGTCCTGATGGAGTTAACATGGAACTCATAAAATATGCAGGCCCCCTAAGCGAATTTAAACTGCTTCATCTTTTCAACGAATGCTGAAAATCTTATAAGACACCTAATAGCTGGAAAATAACAATCACATCTATCTTTAAAAAAGGTAAAACAAATGAATGTGAAAACTACAGGGGTATAAGCCTCATGAATGTCGCTTACAAAGTATTTGCAAAAATTATCAACGATTGATTGAAAATTATAGCAGAGGCTAAATTACAAGAAGAACAATCGGGATTTCGGAAAGGACGCTCTTGTAACGACAACATTTTTAGTCTTAAAAGAATATTAGAAAAACAACAAGAAGTAAGTAAGGTAACCCAAATAGCATTTATTGACTTCGAGAAAGCTTTTGATAGCGTGGACAGACACAAGCTATGGAAAATAATAAACGAAAGTGGCTATCCTGAACACCTCATAAAAACCATCAAAAATATATATAAAGAGACAAAAATTATAAAAAATACTGGCAAAAAGAAGACTGAAGAAATATTAATAAATAGGAGACTTAAACAAGGATGTAGTT